GGACCCGTCCTCCAGGGTCCCGACAGGGCCGAGACCAGCGGCAGCAGCAGCACGCGGGCAGATCGCCCTGGCCGCCGGCCTCCGCGCAGCAGATCACCACAGCGCTATCAGCCACCGGCAGCAAACAAACAACTGCCTCACCGCCTCCAAGAATAAGAGTTCTGATAAATTAACGTTCGAGCTTCGTAAACAACACATGTGCCCACTGAGAACCTGGCGAATCAGAAGCTTGCGAAGCCCATTGGAAAGTTCTGTACAGGTCATCTCACACTAAAAAAAAACGATCTACTGTACCGAATAACCTCTCCGTGGCTCTGAGCCAACGCCATGTACTTCGGCCTCTGAATCAGACTATACAGTAACCGCTAATCTCCCATCATCTAATATAGAACTGTTTATCTCCGAGAAACACCTCCAGGTTACGACTCCTCAGCCAACGTGAAAGGCAGGTTAAAAATTAAAGCGCAGAAAAGGCCCTGTCAGGACAGCGCGATGCTGATGGGGAGCAGCTGCCTTCATGCCGACGGGGGCCGACGGGGGCCGACGGGTCGGAGCAGGAGCTCCAGGCCAGCGGATCAGGGCCTGGCCACAGCCACGTGCAGAATCAGAACTTTACTGAGCCTCAGCTCGGCATGGGACACTAGGACTCGCACAGAGAAACAGCCAACATCTCACCAATGCCAAGACAGAAAACACTGAGGCAACAACAGTTTAAAGCTTTTCAATGTCATGACTTTCGCCGATAAACCATCTAGTTCTCCTTCTCACTGACTATTCTTAACCCCCAAACCTTCCGGCTTTCACTCAAGACAAGCTCTTTAAGGAGCTGAACCCCTAATTCACACACACAGGTTTGGCTCATGGAAAGATCGGACACCATCAGTTACTCATGAAACACAGCAAGACCGCCCACGTGGTTATGAACTGCAAACAGCTCCAGAGCTCAAACCGCTCCTGTCACTGGTGACCTCAAATTTCAAATCTGTCACCAGGAGCTCCGCTAGAATTAAAGCCTGGAGCTGTGGGGGGGGAGGGTCCCCAAAATTAGGAAAGAGAGCCCCAGACTGAAGCTCTTTGGTGTTCCCAAGCAGTTTAAAAGATGGTTCTCAGGACCGTTCGACACAGTGAAAGATCTGGATTCATTAGGGCCTGCCTGCCTGTCAGGAGTGCTGAAAATCTGCCCCTTTCAGCCCCGGGAGCGAGAGAGTTTCCTGACTGCTGAACGAGACACAGTCCTGCACGACCGTGCAAAAGCAGGACTCGCAACCGCGAGCCTCAGATCTCTGGTGCACCCTCCCCGTGACACGGGGCCCCACAGCAGACCCCGAGAGTACCTGGGCAGGAGAGATTCATGTCCACGCAGGACTCCTCTGCCGGCAAGGAGAGAACTGCACTTCTGCAGAGAGAGCGCTGAGCACCAGGTACGCGCATGAACCAGAAGGTGCCGATAGTGTCTGCCCATTTCAGGGAGCTTTTGAGTCTTTTAATGGCGTGGGTGACATTGTCTTAACTACTCCTATTTGCATTAAAAACATACAATTTTTATGTATCTGTGCGTGTACACAGCATCGCTTTTATGAAAACACGCCTGATGAACAGCGCACACTGCTGTGTCAGCGTCGCACGCCTGTCCAGCTCGTAACCGGGTGTCTCAAGCACTTCCTTCGCTCCAGTCCGGAACAAAAAAAACCCAAATCCAAAAGCACCAAACTCTGCGTGCCCACCATCCCTACTGTACCTCCGCCAGACGCCACGCACTCTCCTGAGGAAATGAAGGACGCCCCGGCGCTGCCGGGAACTTGAGCCGAAAGTGGCATTTCATTTCCCGGCGCCCGGACCGCCGAGAGAGCCAGCAGCAGACTCCAGCGGGGCGGACACGTTACCGCCGCCCGCTCAGGTCTCCCAGAGCGTCCCAGCCACGACGAAAACTGCTCGGAGCTGATTTTCTGACAGCGTGTCAAGAGGAACCCCGACCGCGGCGGCGTCTTTTCTGAGAAGAAGCCGACTCCTCTCGCTGTTGTTTTAGCGGCGCCTATGCTGGCTATCGGCGCGGGGGTCTGGCACGACAGCACGCTGGTGGGCTGTGCGCACAAGTGGGCTGGACCGCACCGAGAACCGCCGGGTAGAAGCCGAACGAACACCGCCGAGCCCCGTCCTGCTCCAGCTACTTTCGCGAAGTGTGAACCAGACACCCCGGCTGAGAGCCCGGCGCCGGACCCGGACCCCTGCGGGCTGCTGTCCCGGGACGGGGAGCCCGAGCTGCCCAGCCCGGACCCGGACCCGGACCCGGGGCGGCAGAATGCGGGTGTTTTCGGGTCACCGCCACTCGCAGCGCAGCCGGCGGCAGAAGTACCACCAGTGCCAGCACCGGAGCGACCACCAGGGAAAACACACACACAGGGATGGGGTAAAAACTTTTGGCCGGAGGTCGCCAGCGCGCACGCCGGCTGTCACGCCTCGCCTGCCGGTCAAAGCGCCGAGTCCAGAAAGCCTTACCTCTGCCCCCCGATCAAATGTCGCCCATTTCCCCCGAGCGGCTCGCGTAGCTCCAGGCCTCCCGCATCTACCCCCAGCCGTCGGCTGCTGTTCCTCCTCCAGCTCCCTGCCCCACCGGAAGTAAATGTGTCAATTCCCGTCAGCGCCTGCTTCCGGGTCGGGGTGGGGGGCGTGATCGGTGGGGCTCGGGTCCGCTCGGGTCCGCTCGGGAGCCGAGCCAAGCCGGGGCTTGCAGCACAAACCTGCGTGCGTTGTTTCCCTGCACGATCTGACGTCAGCGCCTCGTCGTCGTCATCATCATCCTAACCATCCTCATAGTCATCATCATCATCATCACGGCCGACATCCAGAGCGAGCGGTTTTATTGGCTGCTGCAGGGAAACGATGCCCTGACGCTTCGTCAGATACGCGTACTCGTATCTGAGCACAGTTGTGGGTTTTCGGTGCCGACGCAGGCGAAACGCACCGAGCGGATATGATTGCGCCCTTGGCTGACGGGTGTCACACTGTAGCCAGAAAGGCCCGGGTCCGACACTCCTGGCCTGACTTCTGCTGTGTGCGTCTGTAAGATACCCACTCGGTCCTCGTTTCGCTCTCTTTTTTAAATTAAAAAGAAAATGAAAACGTGAAAATGACTCATATAGCAATGCCCCGCTCAAGTCAACGGGTCACCGACACGGAGAGCACACCCGGGAGACGTAAAAATATAAAACTTACTGAGAGCAGGGTAGCTGTGGTGACGGGCGTGTCTGGGGGGATGGGGGTGTCGGGGTACTTGTACCACACTGGGGTGACTGCTCAGTGCCCGATTCTTTCACCTACACGTGCAAAGCCAGGGCCCATGGTCTGCTCTGATGAAAGTGACCACGATTCCTTCCAACCATTAATCAATCTTCTACTGAACAACGGCATGCACCAGGTACTTAAAGGACTAAATGGTTAAATAATATTTCGTTCCGGGAAAAATCCGTTTTTTTTTGTCCTGTAAAGTTAATGAATCGTAGATATTTAATAGAACAAGCCTTTAATTACTCTCAATGTGTTTTTGTCGATTGCAGTGCAGAGGCTCGGTCTGTGGGCCGGTGCGCAGCGCTGCCTCGACCTCAGGAGGTGACGAGCTCTGCGTTTTGTCCGTCTCTCGCTGCGAGGCCAGGTCCAGCGGCGTGTCGGGGGTGTGCAGGGGCTGGAGCTGGACTCTGCCATCCGACAGTGTGCGAGACCGACTCGGGGAATCTCTCCGTGCTGATCCAGCCGGGCCTCGCAATGAAAAGAAAGGCCAAGCGCAGATTTGTACCGAAAAGCTCAAGTGCGATTATTACAACTCGCAGTGTCAGTGGTTTCGTAGCTGTTACGCTGTTAGTTACATAGGGTCAACGGCTCTGCTTTTCCCGTTGGAAAGAGCGTAACCCTTGAACCAGCATGGGCTGCCTGAAGGCTACTCTAGTGCGTTTCAACACAGCAGGATTGTGAAACAGTCCCAGCAGCTGATGGAAAGGCAGCCGCCCCCTGGTGGATGAGTTGAGCAATGCTGAACCGCGGGCGTTGTAATTGAAGACTCTCGAAACGGGCACTGCAGCTCGGAAAACGGCAGGCACGAAAGCGCTGGTGTTTGCGCTGTTTGCAGGGGGACAAGTCGGGACGAGAGCAGACCGCTCGGGGTCCCCGCCTGGATTGGGGGTTACT